TAAGAGAGCCTTTTCTTAAAATCCCCTTGATCTGCTGTGTAGTGCCTGAGCCTGGCTATTTAACATCACTATTCCCAGAATTTGTCTGCAGTGACTTATAATTCAGGTCGGTAACAGCAATGCTCCAAACATAAGGCAAAAATTGGCTTAATTGCCCTTCTTCTGCAGTTCCAGTATTAATGGCAGCAGTTCAAGTGAGTTTAAACTGATCTTGTCGCATCAAAATACCTGTGTTAAACCATTGCTTTCTCTTTTGCCATTACTTTTGCAAAATAGTAACTTTGTACTTCACTGGTTTTTATTCTTTTCTCTGCACTTGAATGGCTGCTAACATCTTTGATTATCTTCAAAATGTGTGGGCACGTGGCAAGCCCACGTTCACTGAAGAATGGCAGTACCTCTGCTCTCTCAAAGTTTACTATTGCGTGCATTTCTGTATCTTTTTTTTTTTTTTTAAGCTAACGATGAAATGTATTTATTTCAGTTCAGGTTGTGTTTAGAACTGGCTAATCTCTCCCTCTGATGGATTAGTTATTAAACTGCTGCTTTCCTGTTGTGTTGAAGTTCTCTGTCCTCGTCCTTCTCCCCCGCCTGTGTTACAAGACAGCTTTCCAAGCCTGCCCTGTGCTTCTGCCCAGCATGTCTCGACCCTTGTAAACTGTGCTGAAGAGGTGGTTACGAGAGACTACGCATCAGGCCTTGTAAATCGACCTCCTGTCTCGAATGGGCACAAGTTGTTGAGTTATTTCCACCAATTCCTTAAAACTACAGTATTCTAGAGCAAAAAGTACTTGGAACCAATTCACATTCACCCGTGATCCTAAAATAGCTATCCAGGTTTCCACTGGAGTATTAAAATAACAGTACCTCAACAGCTCGAACTTCTCCGGTGCTCAGGCATAAAACGTTTTGAGCCCTGACCCCGCTGCTCGTCGTACTGGATGGGGGCCGAGCGCTTGAGAGGAAGCGGTTTTTGGGCAGTTTGTGCAGGGCACTATTTACAATGTCCGGCCAAGTAGGGAGCAGCAAAACACTCTGGAGGAGCGAGCGGTCTGCTGTGTGTGGTGGGCCAGTGCCGCAGTGCCGTAGCTGTCGCCTTCAGGAGGTGAAGACTTGCTGGCAGGTTTGTGTGAGCTGGGACGGGGCTGCCTGCCCCCATCCCTAGCTCCAGGTGGTGGAGCAGGTCCCTGCGCCAGGTCCCTGGCTGCTGCCTCCCCACACCAGCGCCTGCCCCACAGGAGCCTCCTCCTGGGGCTGGTTTTAACATCCCAGACTCTGTTGTCTTTGTTTCCAGCCAGGCTTAATTTAGATCTTCATCAAACTCATTTAAACACTTCTGGTGTTTGAGGATGGTACTAAGTGAACAATATAATCGCAAGAAGTATAAACACATCCAAGTCAGCTCTTGAATGGGATCTGGTGTTTGATGGCAGATATCCTGTAATGAGCTGGAAACACAAGCCATCTATTATACAGTATGTTGCCTTTTGTATTTATTTCCTCTGGACCTGAGCTTAGTTTTATTTTTTTTCATCTTTATTTGAGAAAGAACCCTCAGCTTGTCTCACTTTGCATTACTGGAGGAAAAAAGGGAAGGTATTTCAATACAGTATGTTGTTGGCCGTCCTCTCCTCGATGCGGTGGTCGTTTGGATGGCGTGCGCAGCCCAGCATTGCTGCGATGGGGACAGTGCAGCCGTGCCACCGGGCGAGGGGCAGAGCAGGTCTGTGGGATGAGCCTCCCCAGGGTGGGATTCCCGTGTTTTGCACCATGCAGAAAACCTTAATCTTGTTCCAGTCGACCTCATTAGCACCTACTCCAGCCCTGTCTCTTCTGATATCGGGCGTTAGCGAGTGCTGGTGATGACAGCCTGGGGCTACACCCCAGCCCGAGGGGCTCCGGCGCTGAGGCGGTGGCGCGGGGGCATCCTGTGCCGGGGGCCAGGACTCATCCCTCTGCGATTTGTCTCTCCCCGCTGAACTGTTTTGTTTCCTGAGGAATGCCTCTGGACCGAGCATTGCCCAGTGAGAGCCCCCTGCTCCTGCCCCTCAGGAGGAAGCACAACCGGCTTCCAGGAAAAGTGTTCGGGCTTCTGTTTCTTGAAAACCATCGTTCCCTTCGCTCTGACCCGAAAGGTTTCCTGTTGGGTGGAAAACTGTCCTGGTGTCTAAGCTTGCTCTTTCCGCCCTGTGTCTGTAACCTGTTGATCTTTCTTTGCCGTATTCGGGGCAGGAGGAGCTGCCTGTGCGCGCCTCCGGGATGGAGGGAAGATCCTCCGAGTCTATTAAAGGAAAGACCCCAAGTAGGTGGTGGAGCGGGAACTGCGGTGGGTTGCTGCATGGGGGGCGAGGGGGAGCTCGGGGCCAAACCTGCGAGAGCTGCCTTGGGGGCCCGCTGCTACATTACTCTGAGCTTGGACGAGTCCCCTGACCTCTCCCTGGATCGATTACCGTGCCGTTAGAGCCGGCCCTCGTGGAGTCTGGAGGTTTATCAGGTTTCCGTAACTCTGATTTCCTCTGCGATCCATCTTGCCCATCTGCCCATGTGGCGGAGGCCAGGGCAGCTCCCAGGCGCTCGCAGCATCAAGTGCTCTGCAAGCCCCGAACCAGAGGAAGTGCATCACGAGATGATGGACTTTCTGGTAGCTATTAATCTCCTGATGACAGGTCCAGGAAACTTCTTTTTTAAAAGAAAGGCCTGCTCCATAATTGCTCAACTCTGGTTCGGATGCTGATTTATGGGGTTTTTCTTTTCTCACCTGAAGCATCACTTTGAGGGGCACCTGGGGGCTTGGGGTGTGATGCCGAGGGCTCGTGGAGAGTTGCCTCTCACGGGAATGTCAGTCCAGTCCCTGACGGCAGTGGCCGCTTTGCCCCCTGCTTGCAGGTGGAGGCTGTGCAGCTCCACAGCCCCCAGCACCAGGCATGGACCTGGCAGCCAGTGCAGCCGGCGGGCCGAAAGGCCAGGACCGATCCCCCCGGGACCTGTCGGTGTTGGTCCATCATTGCAGGAGCCCTAGCTGAAAGCTGCACCAGACCCCAGCCAAGGGTGGCGGCTTCCAGATCTTGGAAAATTTATTTTTTTAACTGCCTCTGTTATGCCCCTCCTGCCCCAAAATCCTGTAGCAGTGAGAATGGTCTGTGAGGATGGTATTTCCCTTCTTTAAACTCTTACTTGGTGACGTTATGAAGTAATCCTTCCCCTAATGAAGTAACTCATCGCTTGGTGCTTACCCTCTCTGCAAACCACTGTGGGTGTGCAGCCTGTGCAGCCCTGACTGTTCCCTCCCGGGGCTCGCCTGGGGCCTTCGCTCACCCATCACCCATGGAGGGACCGGTGGGGTGGCCTTGTGCATCCAAGCGGGCACCCCGGATCCGGGCTGTGGGAGCGGGAGGGGAGGTGAAACCCTGGCATTGCGTGCGTGTCCTTAGTGTCCTGGGCTCGCTGCTGGGAAAAGCCTGGCCGGCGCAGGGAGCAGCAGTGGCCGTGGCTTGTCCCACACCAGGGCTGGGCTGGGGGCGCCGGTGGCTGCTGGAAACTCCGGGAAGTGGCTCTGTTAACACAGGATGGAAGGAACAAAAACCCCAGAGCCATTAATCACTCGGCTTCGGCTGAATGTGCATATTTGATGGCGGCTGTTTACAGAGCACTTCCCTTGCTTGGAGGCCTCCTGGACCGTCATAGGATTAATTCCCCGGCCTCCCGAAAGGATGCGCGACGCGCCCAGTGCCTGGAGCTGCCTCTCCGGAGAGTTCCCAGATGGGAAACGGCCGGGTCCTGCGCCGACTTTCCACCTTCTGCGACAGGAGGTGCAGGGCTGGGCACATCCCCTCCCTCAGCCCTTCAGCACCTTCCCTGGCCCGGGCCGCAGCCCAGTGGGATGGGATGGGGCAAAACCAGGCCCCTCTCTTCCCAGGGAGCTGGGTAGGAGCGAGGAAGCGATGCCAGACCTGCCATGAGACAGAGGACAGGCACTGAGGCTGTGCCAGGGTCTTGGGGCTAGATAATGCGGGGTAATCAACGTCTTCCACGTGGTAGCACTTTCTCCTTCTATACCATAAAACCAACACTCCCAGGAACACCTACTTTCATCCTTGAGAACACCCTGTTCTGGGAGTAAATGGTGTTTGCAGCCCTGATGAGCAGCACGCAAGCCTGGGGCTGGACACCTCCTCCCTCTGCCCTGGGGATGCGCCTTTCCAAACCCCACGTTTTGGGGCAGTCAGGGCTCGGGCCGGGTTCCTCCCGTGTGCCCTTGTGCCACTGCCCAGGCTGGGATGGGGACTGCCCGCTCCCAAGGCCACGTTCCCCCAGGGGTCCTGGTGGGATGTGCCCTGGGCAGACACTGAAGCCCCAGGCTACCCTCCCTCCGCCCCGTGTGCCAGCCGCAGGCAGCCGTGCTTGCCGGTGATGTTAAACACGGGCCCTGGCCCCGCTATTGGGGCAGGGGGGCTGAGACAGCCCCTCTGACAAGCAGGCATCCCCAGCCAGCCCCACGATGGTTCATTTCAGCTGTTGGTGCTTGGGGCATGAAAATGGCTGTTTTGCCAGGCGCTCTGGGGTGAACGGTGGAGCCTGGTGAGAACTGGGGAAGGGACGGGATCTCGGCCACGTCTTGGGGTGCAGGTGCCTGCGCAGGGCTGCCCAGTGGGGGTGATGGGGGCCCCTGCAGCCATGTGGGGACCCTTTGGACCAAGGGCTCTCCCAGATTTAGGGCTGCCGGCACAGCCTTCAGCTGCGAAGCTGGGTGTTGTGCAAGAGCTGAACTTGGAAGAAAATCAGAAACCTCCCTCTGGAAATACCCCTCGGGCTGGAAAGTCGCGGCAGCCCCGGGGCCGGTGCTTGTGGGGGCGGTTCCTGCAGAGCTTAAGAAGGGCTGAGGACAGGGCTGGCGACCAGAAGGAGACAGCCCCGGACGGCTGCGTTCACTCTCTGGAAGGAGGGAAGGAAGGAAAACCAGCCCTTGCTGCTACCCTGCCCCGCCGCTGGCTCTGCGGGCGATGGAGCCAGCTCCTCTCCTCCTCCTCAGCTTGCTGTGGGGCTGCAGTGGTGAGTGCTGCGGGGGCCAAGTGCCATCCCGATCCCTTAACCCACCGTGCTGCCCGGCCCTGCCTGCTGCTCTCTTCGCTTTACCACATGGCACCATGGGCCAACATGGCCCCAGGGTCTCCCCGCTGTTCAGCCCCGACGGCCGCCATGTCCCATGTGTGTCGCTGCTACAGCGCTCCTCGTCCCGGCACTGCAGCCCAGCGCTCAGAGCCACGGAGCGCACCGCCACGCGAGCGACAAGCGTGTGCCTGGCCTGGGTTCGCTGTCCCGCTGACAGGAGAGCAGCGATGCAGGTGAAGGATGAGAACTGGGGGGGGAAGGGGTGTTTGGGCTCATTTCCCCGAGAAATGGCTGGAGAATCTCAGTGGTAAACAGAGATGGATCAAGTGGCAATGCCTATGCTGGGGCAGACCCGGGCTGGCAATCGCCACAGGCGTGTCGGCTCTGCGGCACTCCCGATGCCTGGTGGCGGTGAGCAGCTGCCCCAGAACAGCGGCACTGCGCAGGAAGCCTCGGCCGCCCCTAATGAGCTGTCGCTAACGAGCAGCCCCGCCGTGATGGGGAAGCAGCTTGTGCAGCGCCTGAGTGTGACCATCCGCTTCTCAGCAAACAGGGGAACCAGTGCGCTGTTTGCCTTGTAAACGACTGGGTTCTGGTGATTGTCCCCTTCCCTAAACCCCATGGCTTCCTCCTTCCTCCACCCAGGGCGACCGGCCGACAAGCTGGCGGTGGTGCCGCGGGAGCCGGTGGTGCGGTATGGGGGCTCGGCACAGCTGAACTGCTCCCTGGCCTGCACGGGGGGTACGGTGCAGTGGAAGGGGCTGGACACCAACCTGGGGAGCATCACCTCCTTCCCCACCCACAGCATCCTGCATGTCAGCAGCGCCGTGGTGGCCACAGGGGGCACCAAGATCTGCCAGGGGACCTGCCATGGGCAGCGCTACCAGCACGCTGTCGACTTGAAGGTCTACGGTAAGCATCCCCCAGCCTGTCCCTCGCTACCTCCCCAGCAAAGTCCTGCATCCCCTGAGGCAGCCCGCTTCCTCATGAGCGGCGGTGCCAAAAATCACCGCTTGACACTGCAATTCCTCTCTCAGCCTTCCCGGAGACGCTGCAGCTGGAGGTGGACCCCCCCACCCTGGAGCCGGAGCAGCCTGCCAGCCTGCGCTGCTTGGCCCAGCAGGTGTACCCGCTCATGGGGCTGGTGCTCACCTGGTACCGGGGGGACCAAGCGCTGAAGGAGGCAGACTTCGATGTCATGGAGACCGACGAGGAGCTGTTTGACATCGTGTCCACGCTGCTGGTGGCCGGGAAGGAGGTGGGAGAAGGGATGGAATTCAGGTGCCAGGTGACGCTGAGCATCGGGCAGGAGACCTTCACCCGGGTGGCATCTGTGATCGTGAGCACTGGGGGTGAGTGCCGGGGTGAAGCTGGGACCCAGGTTCGCACGTTGCCCCATCCGCTGAGCTGACCCCCCGTTGCCCTGCGCTGCTTGAAATAGCTTTGCTGGAATGGGAGCAGCCCCCATTTCTGCACTGCTCTGTAAATCTCCCGTCCCCATCCCTGTCCCCATCCCTGCTGCTGTGTCAGCAGTGCCTGTTTGCTCCTGCTCGCTGCCTCTCCCTGCCCAGGGCTGGCTGCATTCGTGGGGTGGTGTGTGCGGAGGGAGCTGTCACCCCATGGGGATAACATGTGCCAGAGAGGCCCCGTTCTGGCTCTGAGCCGCGGCGAGGCCACCCATGACCTGCTGTGTTCGCAGCTGTGACGGAGCAGCCTGTGGCCATGGCCACCTCCACAGGGAGCCCCCGGACAGCGGCAGCTACGACGGGGAGCCCCAGCACAGCCGGGCCCGTGACCACTACGGCACTGCCCCCAGAGCCGAGTGTCCCCACACATGATCCCACCACAGCCCTGACCACCACACTGCAGGAGCCCGATGCTGAGACCATCCTGGAGCCAGCTGCTGCCACCAAACCCCCCTCCACAGAGCGCCCTGCTCCCCGTGACCTCGTTGCAGGCAGTCCCACGGGACGTCTGGCCACCACCATGCTTCCTGGCTCCAGCACCGTGAGCCTCCCAGCTGAGGTGCAGGGGACGGCTGCGGACAGCATCAGCTGGGGCTCTCCCCCGGCGGAGAAGGGGACAGGACCATCCGTGGGGACAGCGCCCGCCTGCAGCCTGCAGATCTGGTCGCTGCCTCCCAACGGGACGCGGGGCAGGGCCCTGCGCATCGAGTGCCGCGCACAGTGCGCTGGGAACGCCACGGTCCGCTGGCTGCAGACCCCGGTGGCCCTCTCGCAGTACCGGGAGGAGGCGGTGGGCAGCAGCTCCACGCTGTGGCTGGACCGCACTGAGCCCCGGCACCAGGGCCACTACCAGTGTGTCCTGCTCGGCCACCGCTCCCAGGTGGTCAGTCTGCAGCTGACAGTCTTGGATGGTGAGTGGTGGTCTGCAGCCCCCTCTCCCTTACCCCCCATCGCTTGGGCTTGGGCTGCAGCGAGATGTGTTAGTGCCATGTTCAGTGCTGGGGGGTGTTATGCTCACCCCTGGGTATTTGCTGGCGTGGGCAGAGTCTGCCTGCAATTATACGTCCTTCTCATGTCTTTGCAGAGTCGTTCAGCGCGGGCCCCGCCATCGCTGCGGGGACAACGGTCTCGCTGTTGGCACTGATCGTGACTGGCGTCATGTCTCGTCGCCTGTGGAAACGATTCAGATCTCAGTACGAGCTGCCCTAGGAGTGGGAGCTGCCTGCAGATGCCCACAGCCCTCCGGCCCAGTCCCTGCTGTCGCCCTTTCTGCTGCCGGCCTCGCCCGGCGCCTGGG